ACTTGGAGAACGTAGGTGAACTGGTGGCACTGAGGTGGAAATAGAGAATACATCTACATGGACACGACAAAACCCCACCTGGTTCAGTGACATCTCCAGCCATGTCTCCTTACTTCATCTGTCCAGCAGATCACCCTGGGCATGTTCTACATCTCTCTTGATGACTTCAGGGCAGTGGGTGCTGCCTGAATGCCTTTGGGACCACTTTCTCATTTGAAAACATGCCCGTAACACCCAAACAACAGGCTGCAGTAAGGCCGTTTTGCTCCTTCTGAAATGACGTTTCTCATCATTTTAGCTCAAAGGAAATTGCAGCTTTCCGGTTTGATTCCGGAAAACACAAAATGTCAGGTTTTTCTATGGACCAGAGATTTCGGCGGTCGTTCAGCTCAGCCAGCAGGTGAGGAGAAGCTTAACAGTAGCACGTGGAGCAGGCGGTCACTGCAGTAATCCCCTGAGCAAAGCGCACGTGAAGCTGGAAAGCTCTGAAAGGGAAGTTGGAATGACCCTAACAGAAAACTTTTCCTGAAGGAAACCACATCTGTTCAAACTGGCATGCAGGGCTGTTCTCAGGAGGAGAAAGATGCAAAGTTCAAGGGAACTGCATGCGAAGATACACCATGACTTCACTGGGGTTATATAATGAGCCTCGGCGTGAGGAAGCTCTTTGTTCTATTTACAAACCCCTGTATTACTGACAAGGAAACTTCAGTGGCTGGCTTCCAAGGAAAACAATGAAGAAAGAAAGGTGGGTTATTCTTTGTCTTGTAGCTCCCATAAATCCCCTACAATTCTGCAGTCTGATTTCTTTTTTCTTTCTTTTCTTTTCTTTTTTTGCCCCCATGTGTTACCTCATAGCACGTTTTACAACTATAATTACAAAACAATCAAACGTGGGAGCAGTAACTAGAAGTGCATCAGAAAATGCTGAGCCCATTTGTTTGGAAACTCCACAGGTGTTGGTCCCAGCTTTGAAACACTAAGGTTATTGTCTGAAGAATGCTGTTTCAGCCACAGAGAGGTCAAATAGTGGAGAACATTCTTGAATATTAAGTGATATTTAAGTCGGACTTCTTCCTCAAAGACAATCTGCCACTAAGGAGGCTCGTAAACCAGCACCTCCAATTCAAAAGTGCAAAGCCTCAGAAAGCTCATAACAGGATTGGAACAGCAAGGGAGAGGATAAAGGTAGGTTGCTCTGAACGTAACGCCTCCTATTTAGCTTCATGGAAACTACAGCAGATACCAAGAACACCTTAACATTTTTAATGGAGGACATTTTCAGCTATGACATACTATTTTGCAACACGGCCACCACTACTAGCTGTGCATTTTTGCTAGTGATGAACAACAGCCTGTATGCCACGCTCACAACAAATCTGCACCTGTGGCTATCAGGAACGTGGCTTGTCTTTCCCATCTCTGTCACCACTGCTGGAACACACCACCCACTACCGCACTGTGTTCACATCCACTATTTGGTCTCCAAAAATTTTCAGTGAGCATCAAATGAATGTCAATGGGTGCCATTTTTTCTGCAGGGAGGAATTAATTTCTACACCTTTGCTCCATACGAGCTTCCAGATGCCATTTTTTCAGACTGCACCCCTGCTGCCATCTGCCACATGGCCACAGAATGTAACAGGATATTGGCAGGAAGGTTCATCCTCTGCTGCCATCCCACCAACATCCACCTCTGACAACATGAGCCAACACTGTAATATAGGAGGCATTACTTTTAGAGCAGCCCTTACAAAAGAGGTTGGGGAATAATGCAGAGAAAAGAATAAGGAATGACTAATCGCTATTTCCTGTAGCACAAGAACAGTGATTTTAATTTTTTTTAAAATCACAATTATTTTTCTCTACTGCAACAGGCTCTCATTGAAGTGAGTTCACTAAGGCAGGTTCTAGGACTCTGACTCTGCAACTCAGAGACTTCTCTTTACTCCTCAGCACATATTTAGTCTGAATGGTGTAGAGCTGTAATGATGTCAGGGAATTAACCCCTGGTACCTGTTACAAAATCAGTTCTATATATCTCATGGTGAACAATCTCCCTGCTGCCTGAAACTGAGCTGCTGTTCTTATGCTGCGTTTGTTATTCAGGATTATTTTATTCCATGAGATGCATGGAATGCTTCGTCTTTAGCTATTAAGAATTTCCCACCTAATTTCTCAGTTATTTTGGGGAAGACATTCGGCTGGTAAAAGCGTGTTACGAAGAACTGCAAGGTAGGGATAGTCCTTCTGAGTTCAAATTCCATTTCAGAGATCTGAAGTCTCTTATCTCAGCTCTCTATCTAAGAAAATATTTACCCATTATAATGATCTAACTGCAGGAAGGGGCCAGGGTGCTATTTTTCTCAATTGCCTGTCTCACTATGGGGTGAGGCTCAATGCAGGGTGTGCACCACTCCCAGATCCTCATGGCTGGTGCTCAACACCGGCAGCGTCAACTGTTGCAACTCTCAGGGTGACGGGGACAAAATCGTGGCACTCTCAGATGCTTCCTGACATTTGGATTCTGTGTTGGTACTGCTTGTGCAAAATGGTCATCTCACATAGGGCATTTCCAGAGTAGTGTCAATGCAGCTAAGGCAAGACCAAGTAGCTTTCAGTCCATACCTGAAGGTAAAGCATGAATGGAACCAGTCTGATTAAGCCTAAGCAGAGCAGAAAAGAGCCCAGATGAAGTCTGGCTGGTTTTGTTGTGTTCCCACAAGCAAAGAGGCAAGCTGATCCCTCTAATTGTAATAAGATATGGTGGGAATGGTTATATTCTTAGGTTGCTTGTTGCCTTCAACCCTCCTTCTCTGTTATACTAAGTAAAATGAATGCTTCAAGAGTATAGGTCATTGTCCCTGGTCAGCTGCCCAAAGGGAGGGGACAGAGGGTGGTAAACAGCTGACACATGGGTGTAGTCGGCTTTAGACTTAATAGTGGAGGAAAGTGGCATTTTTCAGCCTACGCTTGGGAAGAGTGAGATGCTGGACATGTGAGATGGGAGTCCAGAATTTCTGCAAATGCTGGAAGCAATTGGTTGAGATGTAGGCAGGATAATGGAAATACCAACTGAAAACTCATTTTTTTCCCCTTCCTGTGGTAGGTGTGGGCCTGAAAAATACAAATGATGTCAAAATGTCAGTTTTGTTGAAGTTTTGAAACCATCTGACCCTTTCTAAAAGGTCTCTGAGCAAATATTTGTAAGCTTTGCATTTGCAGGCTCAGTCTGGAGTCCCAGCTCTTGTTTGGGTCATTGCTGTGCTGCTGCAGTGGATGCACTGGGTCCATAGCATCCAACAGGTAACTGTAGCAAATGTGTCATATGAGAAGTGAAAGAATACAAGTAGGAGGCTCAAGGCATCAGCAACATCCCAAGATTTCTCCAGTGCAGCCAGCCCTTAATATCTGTGCACAAACTCAACGTTCTTATGTTTCCTATCAAGTTACCATACTGCAGCAGGGGGAAAGATGGAGCTCCCAGGGTACATTTACTCTCTAATTATCTGCTAGATTAGAGGCGAGCCATTTGGAAGAGATCTACGAGCAATCTGGTTTAGCTCTCTGCAGACATTCCTCTCCAGCCACAAGCAGCTCATGAGCAGCACAAGTGTAGCTCTAGTGCCAGGGATCTGTCACCTCACTGGCAGCGGGGCTGGGCTGGCTCTTTGGCAATCCTAATTCCTGGGGATGGCTGAGTCCAGGGCTGCTGGGGCATGCTGCATCACCTCTGTGTCCCACGGAGGAATTGGAGCAGCCCTTGGGTAGGCTTGCTGTTGGTGAAGGTTAAACATATGAGTTATAGCAGGTCCCAATTCAGGCTATATTTACATCTTATAAAGTATATGAAGATCTTAGAATAGTTGATGGAGGAAGCATGTCCATGGTTTATTATGCAATTGGATTCTTCCAGAGCCTGGGAAGTAAAGTTCTCTCCTTTTTATAGGTCCTGTACTGAGACACAAACCTTCAGAGTTGGTGGGTAGGAATGTGCTGGGTAAATGTTTTTCATTATAAAGTATTTGTTAGACATGATTCCTTTCATGTTGTGTATGTGGGAATGCATCCATTTCAGCAAGACGGTCTAGAAATGTTTTGTGTGGAATTTCTGGCCAAGATGGTCCTTTGTCGTGGCATGGTCACTGCGGGGGTGGCTGGGAGACTGCGGGTCGGGTCTTGGAGCTGAAGCTGGCAAGATGGGGAATTAAAGCAGAATAGTGCCCTGATTTTCAGATGGTGCTGGAGCTCAGATTTGTTTATCGCTGCGTGTTTTTTGTCCTTTACTACACGGAAGAAAAGTCTTCCAAAATTTTTGAGAACTGTTTTTGCCACAGTAGAGATGGGAAAGTTTCCAGACTCTCTAAGATACTGCAAATGGAGGAAGCTGTTTCCAGCTTAGCTTAATCTGCAACTTTCCCAAGGTTCCACATCTGCTCTTTTGCAGAGCAGGAGACTTAACCCCAGTTTCCTATGATGAAAATGATGGTATGTAGGCTGCCTTCTTGCTATGTTGAGAAGAAGCAGAGACCCAGGAGCCACATCCTTATCTTTTGGCCATCCACTTTCATTCTCTGTTTAGAAGCTAGTTTGTGAAACTGCTCATAGCATCTGAAGCAATTTTGTTCCATGAGGCTTTAAACCCCTTATGACTACTGTAGCAGACAGCTGAGGATTTTGAAGCACTCCATGGAAGAGGCCTTCTGAGTCTGCAGCACTACATCAGGACCTTTCCTGCTGCAGGGCAGTATTTATGACACAATATTTGGGCCTACCTATTGCTCCTGGAATATCCACCTCAAATCGTTTCTCTTTGGAGTTAGCCACACTGCATAGCTTTTCATTTCTTAAACTCTTCCCAGCAGTCTTACCTCAATTTGGCCCAAAGGTTGGGGAAATAGAGCTGCCAAGGAGCCAAGTAGAAAGTTCAAGTTTTGTTCACGTGAAAACCTGCAAGAGAAAGAGTGTGCTACCTCTGTGCACTGCATTACTCTGCAGTCTTGTCAGAAAACTCATCTCTGATTTGCTGATTGTTCTTCATCCAGAATTTCTCTTTGTATTTTAAACATGTTCTTTTTTTTTTTTAAATCTTTTATTTTCCACCAGTGGAAATCTGATTTTCTCTTCTCTTCCTTTTCTAATAATTCTGATCTCTATAATTGTCTTCATACTACACCCATCTTCCTTGATTGAAGGAGCTGTATTCACAGTTGGCACCTCTAGCTTGCAGCTACTATATTTATGTGGCAGTACATATTTTTATGTGCTGTAACTCTTCTTTACAAGAAGAGCCCGTAAGATTGATGAGTGAAGCAACATATTTTAAATATACATCTCGTAAATGTGTTAATGACAATATGGGCTATAGGTCCCTGTGGAAATAAGAGGAGGCATTCTTTTAATAAACAATGGAGCGCATCCAGCTTTTCTTCCTACTTAAGTTATTTCCAGCACATTCACTAAAATGCTACCAAATTCAATAATATTTGTCTCTTTCTTGGCTCCTTACATACATAGCTTTCTTCCTTGACAGCAAGTCCAAGATTTTTTGGAGCCAAAGCAGGAATGATGATGTGTTTTTGTTGTTGTTGTTCTTCTAACCAGCTGTCTCTGCTCATCTTGCTGTCACTAGGAGAAGACATCTGTTTAGTACATTCAATATTTTTGCTTTGATTCTCAACAGGGAGGTCAGAGCTGAAGCAAAACTGTCCCCCAAATTATTTGTTACCACAAATATTTCTTTTAAGGCTAGGGTACTTGTTTATTCAATGCAGATTCCTTAAAGAATTTGACCAATTCTCTTGTAAAACAAACCACTCATGAAATCTGGACATGAGACATTCACCATTAGCAATCTAGTGCTGGATACCAGATGGCATAAAATACAACATATAGTGTCTTCTGCTTTAATTATATCACATCACTCTGATGAGATACTATAAATATGCTTTTTTTTTTTTTTTTTTTCCTCTGCACCAAACAGAGGCCCAGAAAGTGAGGATCCTTAATGAAATTATCAACTTCTTTATTACTTTTGTTTGCTAATTGCATTAAATTTCACTAGAAAAATGGTCAAGCAGCTGGGACTAGCACTAGTCATGGCTTGCCTGTGGCCACAGGATGCTAGGCAGTCCTTTCTTCTAGGCACTAACAACCCTCCTTCCTCATTTACCAAACGTTCAGTCTAGCAAAACATTTCAATCCTTAAATCCAGCCCTGTTCAACAGAACGTTTAAACCTAAGCTAAAACCCCACTGGATTCAAATTGGATTTAAGCATGTCCTTAAAATTAACTGTACTGCATTGGCACGTTGTTCAACTGCCTTTTTCAGCAATGGGATTTAGCAGTTTTACAAAGCTTTGCCATTCTTTGCAATTTTAGCACAGAGCAGAGACAGTTACAGAGCAAAGCAGGGAGTGACACCTGAAACAAGTGCAGAGGGGAATCTATGACCCCAAAAGACAATACCAAAGGCCTGATCTAACCAGAGCTTGTCTTGCTCAAGAACAAAATGACCTGGAATTAATTAGGGTTAATTGGAATGTAAAACACGGAGTTTGGTGAACTACATGCAACTGAAAGACGTGTACAATGATGCTGAGGGGGTTGATGATGGGCATATATATTAATGGAGAATTATTGGGGGGTTGCTGGAAATTGTATTTCTTACCAGGAAGGATTCCTTCAGAGTTCTGGCCCAGACTTGATCCATGCTGTCCCAGTGCCTGCCCAGCACATGCTTTGCATTCCTATTTGGATGCAAACATACCTGCAAAGTGGAGAATGACAAAGCTTCCCACTATTATTCCTAGATTCATTCTACCAGGCAGCTAACACGTGTATATCTCTAGATCAGGAACATGTACCCTGGTTAGAAATTAATCCAGCCTTGCAGGTTGAGTCTTTTCTCCCTTCTCTGTCTAGCATCTATGCTGGTGTTTCCTCATTCCTTCCCCAGTGCCACAGGAATGCTATTGCTGTGAGCAAGCACTTGGCATGTGCTTCCAAGAACACTGCTTGGAGACCAAAGGGTCAGATGTGCCACTCAGTGTGTTCGTGGAAAGAATCATCCTCATGGTGAGGGGGTTGAACAATGCTTTGGCTTGGGCCAGAGGAATCTCCAGCTGAACTAATGCTATTCAGTTGTGATCTTTGTATGGGAATTAGGTGGCAACTGTCCCAAAAATGCACATACAGTGTGTTTTCTAGCATTTCTGGCTTTTACCCATGGCAGGATTAGTTCACCAGGTGGGTGCCTTTCTTGTTGTTCTGGAACTGCTGCTAGTGAGGGAATACATCAGATCCCCACGACTTCATCTGATTAAGAGCTGAATTGCAGCAAAAATGACTTAGGTTAGAGGTAAGGAAAGCTTTCCAAACTGAAGCACTGAAACGGATCTTCGAGATATCCTTAGGAGTAAAGCAGGTAATCATCTGTCAACTACAGTTTAGACTGTTGAAAGCTGCTCCATCTTTATGATATGAGGGGTGAATTACCATAGATTCAGATTGGATATTAGGAAAAATTTCCTCTGCAAAATGGTGGTTGGGCACTGGCACAGGCTGCATGGGGAGGTGGTGGGGTCACCGGCCCTGCAGGTGTTCAAGAACCATGGAGGTGTGGCACTGAGGGACGTGGGCAGTGGGCAATATTAGGGATGGGCTGATAGCTGGACTAGGTGACCTCAGAGATCTTTTCCAGCCTCGCTGATTCTATGATTCTGTGGCTTCCCAAGGGCTCTTCCAACCTTGTGTCTGCTTATTTGGTTGGTTTTTGTGACATTTGCATCCGACGTTTCACCAAGAAAGAGAGACTCAGACTCTAAACAACGAGGTTTCATCTGTTGAATTCTGGACATTTTGCACAGAATCCCTTTGCCTGAGGTCTGGTGGGAAGTTTTACTGCAGGCTGCTTGTGGTGTATCGCTTCTTGTAGAGGGAAAGAACGTGCATGCTTTAGTTTTTTAAGGGCTCCTCAAACACAGGAAGGTGAACCGCCTGGTTTAAAGTTGTACAACATAGGAAAAGAACAGAGACCAGGTTTCTAGCTGTGTTCCTTAACCACTAAAAACTTCATTTCCTGAATTAATATTGGTCCAAGCTGACTCTTGTATTACTGCCTCCTGAGTGGCCTATGCTATGTCAGGCATTTCAGTCTTGTGCTGTTTAATTCATTTTGCTGCTATGATGTAGGGTGCGACAGATATTACCAGAGGAATGATTGCACATTGCCAATATTTTTTATTCTTTCCAGGCAAAGAGCAGATTTTCACAGCCAGGCTCAGCACCTTGAAGTTTCAACTTTCATTTCCAAAATCTATGATATTGGTCATGATAGGAAATTGGAAAAAAATAGAAAATGCTTGACAAAGCAGTGACCATTTGGGGCAGCTTGTTGCAAAGGTAATGGTCTAAGAATCAAACTTCTCTGCTGTGCTGCAGAGGATTAGTCACAGTTCACCTACCTGCAAAATGGAGGCAGCAGGAATACTATCTCATGCTTTGGAAGCCCAAAGCTTACAGCATTTGAGATCATTCAAAGGAAGCTGTTATGGGCGTGCAAAGTATCTTCTCTTCTGTTAACGCGGCTGGAAAATTGCATAAGCTTGATGGATAAAGAAGCAATAACTGTTGGATATGGGACAAGGAAAATATTTGACCACTGGTTTACTCTGAAATCCTAAGTTGAGAATGTGTGTCTCTCATCTTGGGCCAAACGGTTTCATTTAGTTCTCAGATACCTCCTCTAAATACCGGTTGGCTATTGCAGATCTGCAGAACAAGACTTCATGGAGAATAAAAGTAATAATAATAATAATAAAAAAAAAACAGGCGAAAATTCCTCTGTACATTTGCTTCTACTCTACAAAGCAGGACTCCGGTGAGAGCCACAAGAACACACTGTGACTGACAACCGTTGGTGGCAGCAAGTCCCTTGTCACAACCACCCAATCCTTGCAGCACCACTGGGAGCCTTCCTCAGAGCCCAAGGAACGTGGCCTTCAGTCTGATGAACAAAGCACTCGGCTGAGAGACACACGAACTGCTGCATGGCCATGGAGGGAACTGCACCCATGTTGGCAGGACAGTGGGCAAAGCCTTTGGCACTCAGCACCCAGCCCAGTGCACCCGTGCTTTAAGCAGCAGCTGTGCCCGTCTTTCACAACAGGCCATGCTTGTGGTATTACTGCCACTCGAGGTACACCTACGGCACGGGGCTCTGCTGACTCATGTGCTATTCTGCTTTGGTTTTGGATCCCAGCAGGGTTTAGATATAGGGTAGGCATCTAGGACAAGGCCAGGGTATTTCTAGTCACAGCACTTAGAAGCCTTGTGTGGCTCTGATGACAGGCTGGTGCCAGTGCTTCTGATAGCATCTGCCGTCGGCAGTGCTCCCTGTCCCTTGCAGGAATTTGGCAGCGCTGGTACCCAGGGCCAGAGCAGGACACCGAATGGGCCCCAAACAGGGAGCGTTTGTACCACGGTTGGATTTGAGATGAGGCACGCTTCCCAAGCAGTGGCATCTGCTGGGGTCTCCAATCCACCAACATGTGGGTCTGGGGAGCACCTCCTTGTTTTGGAGAATTCAGCAGCCAGAGAGGGAAAGAGGGAGGTTGGATCTGAACTCCGAGCTTCAGCTCCTGATGCCTTGTAGGCGCGTAATGTCCTTTTTTGGGTTCTCATGCACTAACTTTCTCTTCTGGGGATGTTAAGCAGTGACTGCAGACATTAAAGCTGGTAATGGGGTAAGAGTGTAAACATCTTCTGAAAGCACACAGCAGAGCTCTGATTGTCAAAGTGAAATACATTTAGAGTGCTTAAAATCTCATCCAGCGCTCTCTTTCCAAATGAGTAAGGCTTGGCACCAGGCCCCTGAACGCAGCATAACCCTCCTGCCTTCCCCTGCTCCTCAGGACGAGCGCGATCCCAGGCTACAGAGCTGCAAACCCAACCTAAACCCATCATCAAAACAATCACACTCAAAATCTAAATTATTTTAATTCCAGTTTTTTTTTTTTTTTTTAATCAATAACCACAAAACAAACTGAAAGAAAGAGCAGAAAACACGGTTTCCCTCCCCCATCTCCTTAGGTTTTGTATCAAACCTACGAGCAGGCAACAGAACCTTTGTAACCCCGAGCATCGTCCACCTCTGTGCGCTTCTCCTGGCTGGGGAAGAACAGAGTAAAACATGTCAGGAAAAGGGCCACAAAACCGCAGCACAAAACTCCTCCAGGAGAAGCTGAACGCTGGGATCTGTGCCCGGGGCTGGGCGAGGGGGTGCGGACACCCCAGGGCCTACCCCTGAGTTTCGGGGCGGGGGAGCGATGCTCGCAGGGTCTGGGCCGGAGCGGCATCGCCGTTCCCCCACCCCCGAGGTGCCGCGAGCTGCCGCCCCAGCCCCGGCCCCAGCCCTTACATGGACAAATCTGCCTGCAGGGAAAGGCAGGAATTTGGGCCCTTGACGTCAGCCCCGGGCAGAGCGCAGCAGCCCGGCGGGGCGGGAGGCAGCGGCCGCCGCTTTCGCTTTTTGTTTCGGGGGTGTCCCCGGGAGCTCGGGGCTCGCAGCCCACCTCCTCCGCCGGAGGGGAGGTAAGGGACGCAAGGGAGGGGGGGGGGGAGCGCGGCATGAGATGGGGGGGGGTGCAAAAGGACCGGAAAGACCGGAGGGAGGGATGCGAAGGGCGGAGTGAAACAGAGCCGGGTTGGGGGGGGGGGAGACGGGACGGGACGGTGGGGATCGGAGAGCGCGGAGGGGGCTGGGGGACCGCGGGAGGGGCCGGCTGGAGCCGGGAAGCGGAGCGCGGAAGGGGCCGGCGGCGGGCGGAAGGGGCCGGCGGCGGGGCCGTGGGGGGCCGAAGGAGGAGCGCGGCCGAGCCGGGGCGGAGCGGGGCGGGCCAGAACTCCACCGCGACCCCGGCCCCGCCTGTTGGCCCACCCCTGCCGCCTCCTCCCGCCGCCGCCGCCGCCGCTCTCGCCTCCGCTGCCTCCTCCCCCCCCGAGGTATTGTTACGAATAATAACTTGACCCCTTCCTCTCTCCCCCCACCACCGATCCCCGCCCGCTGAGACAGCTGTGCAACAGCTGGAGCCCCCCCGGCCGGGGCGAGTCGCTCCGCCGGACGCCGGAGGGAGGGGGGGGTCCCACGATTAGCTCCTCCCCACGCCTGGGGCACCGCGGTCCCCCTGGCCCGGGGCGAGCGCGGCAGCGGCTCCGGGTGGGGCGGTAGCGGGAGCTCCCCCCGACCCCCTCCCCCCACCGGTGCCCCCTTCCTGGGCTCGGCTCGGCCGCCTTCCCCCTCCGCCGCCCGCAGGTGCACCTGGTCGGGTTGCGGCCATGCCCCCCCGCCCTTCGCCCGGGTGGCGGTAGTCAGTAACAAGTTAAGCAAAGCCGTGGCAGCTTTTTATACACCAGGGGAGGCCCACCCTTCCCCAACAGGTAAGTTCTGTAGAAATTTCCCACACCCTTACGTCACCCAAGGGCTTTTTTTTTTTTTTTTTTTTCCCCTTTATTCTTTTTTCCTTCTCCCCTCCTCCCCTGTTTCCCTCCCTTTTCAAACAGACAACTTGTATTCCTGCCATTGTGCAGGAGAGCTGAGCAGTCTCCACGCCCTGAGGCTGCGCTTGGGAGAAGGCAGTGCTCCCGAGTAGGAGGTGTTGATGGAGAAAACTGCTGTAATTGCTCTGTACTTCGAGGAGCAGCGTGGCCCCATGGGTGCACAGCGTTGGTTTCTGCTGCTTTCTTTTCATATGGGCTTTTCGGTTTCTACATTCATGTGAAATTGGCCCTGCAGTTTGGTTTGGGCTTCAGGTTCCTGTTTGGTGGCTGTCTCTGACCAAGGTGATTTGGTTACACAAAGTTTTAAGAGTTTATGGGGTCCATCATGCTGGCCGCTGCATCTTCCTACATATCCATAGTTCTGTGCAGAAAATAGTTGTGACCCATGTGGAATGCGTAGTTTCACAGAAGCCTTCAATTTTGGTGAAACAATCCAGAATTGAGAGGTTCTTTGCTTCCTGGATCTATTTCATGCAGAGTTCATGCTTACACCTTCCAGGAATGAGTTTTTGGACAAAATCTGAGAAATCAGGGAGTTCCTGGACACCTGTGGTCTGGGTCATGTAGCAGGTGTTGGCAGTCATGCAATTAATTACCAGTTTGGGTCTAAGGAAGGCAGGGAAATGCCTGGAGCCACAGATGGGGCCTAACATTTCATCTGCCCGTTTCCACCAGCTGCTCCCTGTCCTGCCTGCAGCAGTGTGATCTGGGGACAGGATGGGCTTTCTGCTTCTCCGTGCAGCAGGTCTGCCCCAGACAAGGCTCAGTAGTGCTCCACAAGATGGGATTTCCCTCAGGAGGTATATATCCATCCAATGGCAAAGATGCGCCATGTAAAACTTTTCTCTGCCCATTGTCCTACTCTCTCTCCTTGCCCACCCACAACAATTCATCCTGAGTTTATTAGCTCTGTTATTCCTCTCTTTTGGTTGCTTAGAGTTTTGTTAAGAGGGGCTCCCCTTGAGTGGAGCTCAGGAGCAGCTGGAGGCCACTGTGGGCCTTTTGGCTCTCTCTGGTTGTGGGTAGAGTGGTGTGATGGGTCAGCTGGGCCTTGAGCTGATCTCTGTGCATAGAGGGCACCCGAGTGGTTTTTAAGGCTTCCTCCCCAGAAACCAGGCCTGCCACAGGGCCCTATGTAAGCTGCAGCAACCTTGTAGGCAGCAGGATGAACTCCTGGGTGGGGAAGGAGGACGTGGCCAGAGAAATGAAGCTGAAGTGGAATCTCACAGGTATCTCATCTTCTGTAGGTGCAGGCCCAGCCTGCAGTAAATTCATGTTGTCATGATCTCGTGTGAAACCAAGGCAAACCAGCAAGAATGGACCTGTACACTGGAGGGCTAAGGCTGGTTTTCAGGTCCAGTATCCCAACAATCACGGCGGGGATACAGAAAAGTTCAGGTGCAGTTCTGCCGCCTCCTGCCTTGGAACTTTCCAGAGCAAATTGGACATCAAAGGTGCCTGCTGTGTTTCTGAGAGATGATGGGCTGCTCTCTTGTGCTGCACCAGTTCCTGATTCTGGTAATTCACATTTCCAAAGGATGTAAGTGCAGATTCAGTTGGATGCTGCTTGCCAAAGCGCGTGTTCCCTGAGGATGTGAAGCTCTGGAGCTGGAGCAGTGAGTTTTGCAGTGCGCCGAGACAAAGTGTCAGCTACACTCTCAGTAGAGCTGAAGTGCTTTTAAATATATAATGATCATCAGTATATATTTTTAATTAAAAGTTTATAGTACAAATTATGGTATGGAGGGCTGTGGTCAAAGTGGAGGCAGCAGTCACTTCATTTTACTGCCTGTTGCTTTGTTTGTTAATGTCGTTGCTTGGGTTTGACTGTCTAATATTTGCTAACAAATCCAGAGCAATTCCCTTCTGCTTTGTGAAGTCTGGTGGAGAATTTTGTGAGAAGGATTGCGAAAATGCTAGAGAGCTGTAAAACCTCAGGGTTCAGTATCATAGAATAATGGAGTCATTAAGGTTGGAAAAGACCTCTAAGGTCATCTAGTCCAAATGTCCACCTACCATCCACATTGCCCACTGACCATGTCCCTCAGTGCCACATCCCTATGGTTCTGGAACACCTCCAGGGATGTTGACTCCATCACATCCCTGGGCAGCCTGTGCCACTGGACCACCACTCTTTCTGAGAAGAATATCCAACCTGAACCTCCCTTGGACCAAATGGCCAATGTGGCCATTTCCTCTTGCCCTACCTAAAGCTTGGTCAGCAGTTTGGCATTGCTCCCACAGAAAGGACGTGCATTAGAAAGGTGTCACACAAGTGATAAATGCTGAGGTAAAGGAGTCTGTTCCCTTGTGCCACTGCTTGGGAAATGTTGGGTGAAAGTGAGTGATTCAAAGTGAAAAGAAGTAAATGCTTTTCTGTGTAATGTGTAACTAAATGGTTGAATTTATCATGCAGAATATGGCTGAAGGCAAGAATTTAGCCAAGTCTGGAAAGAAGATAGGACGGTTGTATGACTATCAGGTGCTTTGCCAGGTAATAGTGTTGCCTTCTGTATGATGAACATCGAATTGGAAAGAAAAAAAAACATTTTACGCAAGTTTCCATGAAACATCTCGTGCTGGCTTTAGCTGGAGAAAAGCAGTAGCTTTTTTAGTAGCAGTAAAACAAATGGTTTGCAATAAGACAGTTTCCATGCATCGGTGGGAACACGTACCCTCAGGGTGCCCACTACAGCCTCTCCATTCCTTGCTCATCATGGTTGTGCAGACAGTGAGAGCTCAGTAGCGTTTCGTTCCTTGTCCAGCATCTGAATGGTGGAGCCATGCTGCCCTGCCTTTCTCCTGATAAGCCTGCCTGGCTACTGGGCTTTGAGCTGGGTTCCAGCCATGGGCTGGTCCTTCACCCCGCTGTCTGTGGCTGCCTGAAGTTCTGGGGAGCTCTTCAGGTGTCGTGAGTCCAAACGCTCATCCCTAAGGGTGCACTGAGAGGTCTTGGAGGTGTTGGAGGTGGTGGTGATGACAAAGAAATGTGCATTTCCTTTAGGTACGCCTGTGTCTCTAAGGCATTTTACTTTTCAAACATAGATAAAGCTTGAGCGAAGAAATATGAATACAAATTTGTGTCTATATGATCTACCAGAAGTCTGGGATTCAGCACTTGTGCTTGTTTTATGCATGTGTGAACAAGACAACGAGACTCTCACCTTTTATTCAGATAATGATTTACCCCACTAAATCATCATCTCCCTCTGCTCTCACAGCAGGGCAATTCTGCTAAAAGCTAGAGAGCTTACTGGAACTGCAGCCACATTTGAAAAGCAGGCAAGAGTGGGGGAGATGGAAACCGTACTTTATCTGAGGATGTGGGTTACCAAAGGCACTGATTGGGAAGGCACAAAAACTTTAAAGAGTGTGGGTTACCTATAGGAAAATGCAGGACTTGAAATAACTTACAAACAACAGTTCCAGGGGAGATTTTGGATGGCAGATGGTGCACATGTAAAAGTTGATTGCAACAGGAGTCTCTGAAGGACGGTGTCAGTGAAGTAAGAAGAGCTCAGTGTTTTACTCCTCTTGATGTCAGGAGTGTTTTGTTTTGTAAAACAAAAACAAACACAGAAAAGAAAACAACAAATCAAACCGAAAACCACAGACCAAAAAAAGCCCGCAGAGTTAACAAGCTTTTGACAGCTTGTGCTTGCCCAAGGAGTGGAGGTTAGCTGTGTACTGGGCTCTGCTCTTTCTGCTCCTACTTCTGGGCATGGCAAGCAGGTAGAGTTCAGAATGTTTCTAACCAAGCATGAAAAAAAAAAACAACACTACCCACACTTAATCATTGTGATTAAGGTTACTGGTAGAGACACCTCAGTGCAGAGACTGCTTTAATCTCAGAAGAGTTGGTTTCAATCATGTTCTGAGCAAGCGCAAGAGCTGGCATGGAAATGATCATTTTAAGTAGCTGTCAGCAAGTCTCTGTCCTTTCAGGTTGTTGGTATCTGTTGTTGGAATCTGTGGGTGACAGTGACACACGTGTGAGTCACTCAGAAGCACTCCCAAACTATCTCAATATGCTCGAGAAAGGAAAACAAACATTGGTAGAGTTGTGGGCTGCTGATAACCTTTTCTTGTAAAAAAAATACAGGTTTTGATCGTTTCTTGGATGCTTATTGGTTCCTTTGTGGCGTCAAGGGCTCCTCGTAATACAGTGATTCCTCAGTAACCCTGTAATTATCTGATCTGAGGGCGTGGTGGTGATGGGTTGGATTGGGTGATCCTGAAGGTCTTCTCCAGCCTTAGTGATTGTAGGAGTTGGGATGCTTGAGGGCCCTTGTTATGCCAGTTGTGATCCGGTGTGAAGTGGACAGTGCTCTTTGGGATTCATTCCTTTTGGAGGGATCCCATTTTGCACATAAGTGGGTTTATGCACTTGAGCATCCTCAGTGTAGGTGCCTTTCAGCACTTGGCTGCCTTCCTCTCTCTGCTGCTGCTGCCCAGTGATGCTTCAAGGCAGGCAAACTTCCGCCAAATCTTGGATGACTGTGCTGCCAGTGGAATAGTTAGTTGAGATTTAATACGGCCATTATCTTAAGGTAATAAAATATCAACTAACTTGCCATAACTATCTTGTTTAATGTCTATTAAAAGCCCCACATACTTCATTGACTGGGTGAAATTTAATAGAAGTTCAGCTAAGCATTTATTGCTTATTTAATTTAAAAATAAGTTGATCTCCACAGTTGGTAACAGGCACTGAGGATTTAATTAACATTCTGTAAACTACCCTGTTAGCTCTGAATTACACAGTCAGGTCTTGTTTATGCATCCATTTGTAACTCCCCCCTTCCCCTGCTTCAGGCCAGTGGATGTCAGTGTCAGGAACTGCAGTTCTTCCTTCTTCTCTTTCCTCCTGGGCTCCTGAT